CAGAGAGGCCCCGCCCACTCTCTGACCAAGGACCAGAGGGGAGCCGTTCTGCTGCACGGAGGTAAGGCCCCCAGATCCAGACTGGGGCCCCAAAACCCCCAGGTCTGGTTCTCCATCAGAAAAGAGCCCTGAGCTCCCGCTGGGATGGACATTTATCTTCTTGGGCCGAGTCTCTCAACTCAACTCAACTCAACTTTATTTATAAAGCGCTTTCAGTCAGCCAAAGCTAAAATCAAAGCGCTGTACAGGCCATTTGAGCAGATCATAAAACCCAATTATCACCTCCACATAAGACAAACTCAAAGATTAAAAAACAGTAAGAGCAACAGAAAATAAAAATAAGAAAAAACAAAACCAAGTAAGAGAGGGAAATTAAGACAACTAAGATAAAGTGGAAGTCTCACTCAAAGGCCTGAGAGAAAAAGTGGGTCTTTAAAAGGGTTTTAAAAGAGCTGAGTGTAGGGGCCTGTCTGGTCTCGTTGGCCAGAACCCTCTGAGTTGATCAGATCATTCTCAAAATGAGCAAAACTGTAAATGACATGAAATCCAGTCCTGTCAAAAAAAAGAAACTCTAAAGTAAAGTAACAGTAATCCAATCCCAACACTACTTTAAATCAGACCAGGCCCCCTTTTCACTTTTTTTCTTAAAGTCCCTTTGACATTTTAAACTACTGGTTTAACCCTTTCAGGTAGTAATTCTGATGGTTTTAGGCTGGACTTTTTAGCTTATTTTCTTTCTTTTATCCTTTTTTTTTTGGCCAAAAATTTGTTATTTTACAACTTTTCCGGATGTCCACTCCAGTGGACGGCACACGCTTTAAGATTTCCTACCAATGAAACGCTGCATGTTATAATGAGAACGTATTCTGACTGTTTACATAATGCAGAAATAATATTTGACATCTTTCTCCTCCCTTTTCTCCATTCCCTGCTCATTCAGCTCGACTTATTTAGTCTCTCTCTGTTCCTCTTTAACAGGTTATTATTGTAGACATTTAAAAAATATTATTTCATGAAGCACCAGTGAGCATTTAAAACCTAAAAACCCAAATAATCAAAAGAAAAGGGCTTTTAAATAGGCAGGTTTTAGCTGTTTTGGCTTTAAAGATCCACGCTTGTGTGCACAGAAGGGTAAAAAAATGAGCCGGTGGTGTGTGAAAGTTGAGTTATTTTTGCTTCATTCAGTCTGACTCTGTCTGTGCAGCTGGATGGAGATGAGCTGGTTTGTGTTTTGCCTCCTGCAGCCTCAGATGGATCTGGAGGTCAGAGCAGCGTTCAGCTGGACACGCAGCGGCTGAACGGAGGAGGAAAACACCTCGGGCAGCAGGGCCTGAAGCAGCCGCAGCCCAGTGGGACCACGCCCGGTTAGAACTCATCAGTTACTAATCATGTATACTAGTTATGTAATCTGGTGTATATATTCTCATGTAGATGTTCTGATGTAGATATTCTAGTGTAGATATTCTGATGTAGATGTTTTAGTGTAGATATTCTGATGTAGATATTCTGATGTAGATGTTCTAGTGTAGATATTCTGATGTAGATGTTCTGGTGTAGATATTCTGATTTAGATATTCTAGTGTAGATATTCTAGTGTAGATATTCTGATGTAGATATTCTG